GTTTAGTTCAAACTAGCTTAGTGGACTCCTCATATTTTTTAAGTAGTGTAGTCCTTTAACTAATAATGTACAACGACAAGTTAGTCGCTATGTGAAAGTCTGTAAATTATTTAGGTATTTCTCAATATCTCAATAAAGACATGCCATTGCGGCATGATTGCGAGTTAAAAAAAATAATAATAATAATAATAATCTTATAATAATAATATTAAAGTTTTATTTAAATTCTCCAATTATTTATTAAATTATAATAAAAAATATTAGTTTAAAGACTTTTGCACTAGACTGTATATAAAAAAAATTAGAAAAAAAATCTTTTAATTATAATAAAATCTTTTAAAGTCCTATCTATTTGCATAATCCAAGTTGTAAAATTCTTAATAATCTATATAGTATAAGAAAATTTACAGTATGATCTCATTATTTATTTTTGAAAAAAAAACCTCCCACAAATATTTTTATTTATTCGTTTATTTATTATTTAATTTTAATTAAAACGCAGTAAATAATCGGAATGCTTCTTAAATTAGGTTTAGTGAAAAATGTTGACGTTAACCCGTTGAACATTAAATTGAAAAATAAAATCGGTAAATAAAAAACTTGAGCTATTCAGCCAATAAAATTTGTGTTTTATAGAGATAACAGTTGACAATCATTCTAATGTACCGCATGCATATTACTTTCATGTATCAACAAACTTAGCATGTATAGGAAAGTTAATTGATTTTATTAGATTCCCAAAGTATAAATGTATTTTTTGAGCCAGCTCTTCCTCTAAGATTTATAATATACAAATTAGCTAATGAAAATGCGTGTCGAACGAATTTTTCATCGGCTTAAATCTAGACGACATTGTATGCATGTTTATAAAAAATACAGTAATTTAAAAAAATTATCATGTAGCCGAAAGAATGAAATCATTAAAATATCTATGCAAAATACTAATAAGATTTCTTTAAAATAAATGCTCAATCATCTCTCTAAAAACTCTATGCTCAGCACAGAGTAAGTTCCTCCTGGAAATATCTGATAGCCGATAATAGTACGATTAGTCCAAGAAACACCACGTAATTGGTATACGACCTTCACCGAGGGGGGCGAGTTGTTGGAATGCAGCCGCTAAAATAGTATTAAATTAAAGTCAGAAAGTTGAGCTTTAAACTACACGCAAATTAAGTTAGGACAAATCAAAGGAGAATTATACTTACGACTGAAGTCGACGCTACCCTCATCACAACCCATACACTCGTCAACAACAGTAGCTATAACAGAATTGCCGTTGTAGAATGCCTGGATTTTTCGTCCGCAACTTGGACTATGGTTTGGATTTCCATCAGCTGACGCTTGATATTGCGTGAAAGACAAGGCGCAAATAATATCAGTGTCGGAACTTGTTTCACCACAAGCACCTAGGCCCGGATTATACCAAGTGCCATCACCGCTGAAAGTTGGTGTCTGTCGGCTGGAAACAGGAGCTGAATGGTAGGAATCGATGTTGAAGGAAAGAAGGAAGACAACGACCACGAGGAACATGAACAATTGGGAGGATTTGAAGGCCATTTTTGCGTTGTTTTTCTTAATTGCGTATGTGCGTATGGGAGATAAGAAGATTTTTTTATTCTCAAAATAAAAAAGTATCGATTTCTTTTTCTCTTTTTTTTTTAAACCAAAAAATCAATTTTTAGTCCGCGAGAAAAAAGATGTGAATTTTTTTTATGTATATTGATAGATCAAACAACGGCAAGCCGTAGTTGAATATTGATAGAGAAGATGAATGAGTGAGGTGAGGTTTGGTGGAGGGCGAAACCAATCGTTTATATAGAAAAAAAAATCAATGGTGTGGAAGGTATTCAGAAGTCGGAATGTGTAGCGCCGCGCGAGTATACAATGCGGCATTGTCAGAATAAGCTTTATTAACGCGAATTCAAAAAACATATCGCTTCAGTGACACAAAACGTGCATTACACGGATGTTGCAAGCAAGTTTCAGGTCCTATTAAGGTAAAGTTACACACGTAGAAGTCGATAATTCGTTCCCTAACGGTTCCGTGTATACAGTATATGCAATATTATAATTTGACAACATCTAAAACAGATAGATATAGAAAGAAATACTTAAGTATTTAGAAAGCCCACGTTTCATGTCGAATTTTTGCTACTTTACTACTCCGAAACGAATTCTATCAAAACATTAAAGAAAAAAAAAAAAAAATTCGAAGCAACGAAAAATAAGGCTATAACAAAGTACGTAATGTCGTTCGTTCGTACACCTGTCCTGTGTAGTCTCAGTGCGTATCTAGGTAATCGAGGCCTCGTTGTCTATGCTCTCGAATAACTGAACAGGATTTCCAAATTAGCACAATCCCGATTTTTTTTTTTCGCCGCCGCATCCTCAAACGTTTCAAATCTAATGTACAGTATGTATAGCAGGATCTGCGGTGCACTACTTTCAAGAAATTACACGTGTTGCTAAGAGAGAGCAAAATCTGGATTGAAATCCCTTCATGTTTATGTTTCTCGGCCTTAATCGAACTTTTATTGTTAAGAAGTATCCAATTACTGTAAATTAACAACTACCAACATCGAATATTATTTTATTGGAATACTAATCAATCACATGCAGGCCAGCATTATGAAATTTGGCCCAAGCGCCATACACAGTACCCGGGGTACCATATCGAGCACTATAGGATATTTTAGATTAAGAAACATATTATCTTTTAAAATTAATAAGAGAATTAAAAAATTCAATTATAATGTTACCATTATATTGTAACTTTTTTATATACAATATTATTAACTTGCTTTTTTTTTTTTATCTTAATTTTATTATATAAATATTTAATTTAAGTACTTCTAATTGACTTATTTAATAATTACTATACATACAGTATATTAATAATTCAACTTTATTGCTTTTTTTTTTTTTTTTTTAACCCGCAATCATGCCACGATGGTTTGTCTTTAATAATTCAACTTTATTACTTTATTATTTGATTTTTAATTTTTAAAATATATTTTAAAAATAAAAAAACTCTTTATATACAATATATACGTATATACTATATACTGTATATATATACTGTATATTTTCCTCTGTCAGACTAGTTATGTATGCTTTATTAAACATTTGTAAGCTGTATATATAACATGAGACACTAAAGCTAATTCTTTAACTAACTCACTTGTCTTGATTGGTTTACCTTTCTAAATACAACTTCAAAAGTAATTTATTACTCCATTAAAAGTTCAGATAAACATCTTCCAGCTTCTAATATCATTGTCTGTAGATCATTACTGCAGATCATTCTTTCAAATTTTGATAGAGATTAAAACCCAACCATTTTATCTCATACTCTATCCCATCTCACAGAACCTATTTAAGCATCATGTTTTCTACTTCTTCTTTCTTTAATACTACTTTATATGATCAATTTCCTGATACCTTGGTTCTGTTTTTTTGGCTTTGTAGATATATTAGTCTTTTGATCTTGTCACCTCTATTAATTTCCAATATTCATTTTTACTCTATCACTTACTTGTATCTGATATTTTAAATTTTTTTTCTGAAATAGTTATGTATTTTCTTCTGTATTTTTATTATTCACTTTCTTGCTTCTTTACAGTTTCTCTTTTCATAATACTTTGAGTTTGCTATTTTATCTATTAGATCTTTTTTAATTGGTTTCATATAGAAGCTAAGTATATCTTGATCAGTGTTTGAGATTTTTTTCACTAGTTAAGCTATTTTTTTATCTATTTCTTCTCTTTCTATTCTATTATCAACTATCAAACTTACTGTATCTCTTTTTCTTCTGATTTCTTTTTTTTATTTATCAGAAATATGTTGAAACTTTGTATTATATCTTCCATACTCTTCTACTAGACTTATTGCTATTGAGTTTTATATGCTAGATATTTTAGCAAGTGTTCTATTGTCTCTTTTTGCTATCAACATATGAGACATTCACTTGCTTGTATAAGCCTGATCTTTTTGTAATTAGCTTTGTTAATATGGATAGTTTATTACTGATTATTTTAACAAGAAAGCTTTTTCTTTATGATTTTTTGAAAGAGATATTCCATATGTGTCCATTATTCATTTGTTCTCAAACTAGGTTTCATATATACCTATGCTAGTCTTAAATTTGATAACCCCATTTTTTATCTATTCTGTTTTGAGTTATCCATTGATACATCATTATTTTGACATTGGTTTTTTTAACAAACTATCTTATTGAAGTATCTAGCATTATATTTTGCCATTTAATTTTGATAATAATCTTAAATGAGTTCAGATCTGGTTATTCTATTGTTAAGAACTTTAATACTTCTTTGATTAAAGTGTCTACTTTCTTATTGTATTGAATATTGAAGTATGCTTTGACCTTAATATGATTTAGATTTATTTCTTTTTTCTTTATCAGGCTCAATATTCATATCTATAAGAATCAATTTTATTTCTTTAGTTATCTTTTATAGGGTTTTTTGAAATTCTCCTTTTCTATAGTTTTTCATTTGATGATATAGACTTGACTATTAATATAAATCTTGACCTTACTATTAACTAATACTACTAGTAGTATAATAACTATTCTGTTCTCATAGATAAAGATCAATCAACTACCCCTACTTGGAACTTGCTTTTCTTTCTGTTTCTCCAATTTGTATCCATGTTATATCTATCTTCATATTTTTATTTTTATAATCAACAAGAAATTTGTTAGAGTAAAAGGTCATAATGTTATTTTATTATTTTTCTTATTACACCTGAGTATTTCAATTAAATAGGTTTGATATATGCCTTTTTTAATATTATCTTTAATGAACTTTTTTTCTCAGTCTTATATCTTTACTTCTTCTAGTTGTCTTCTATAACATTGTAAGTTACTAAGTTTATATGAATTGTTCTACTTATTATTCTTTTTAAGATTACCTTGGAACAAGTAATTTCTAAAAGTTGAGTTTTATTTGTAGATTTCCTAATATTAAAATAAGAAACTATATATATTTGTTCTATGTTTAATTCTACTATGTATTAGTTTTCAGTCTTGATTCCTTCTGAGTAGTCCTGGTATCACATTGTTATATTTGACTGGTGTGTCCAAGTGGAATTGCTTTTAAAAGGACAATTTCCAAAGAAAGAATTAAAGAAACAGTTT